CATGCGGATGAGGAATCACCACTATAACATGCCACAAACTTTGAATAAGTGAAAAGGTGACTAAAATTGGCCCCACCTTCTTCTCACAACAGTACACAAGATATATCTCTCTCAAATTTATAAGCACTGTCCCTTCATAAAAAACTGAGTAATTGTGAGCTTGTCCAGACTGCAAGTGCCCCTTATTTCTACCATGACATACAGAATGTAAAAGGTTGGGGTTTTGAGACTGTTGAGTATCTTCAGCAAAAACAAGAACAACCTTCATTTTCATTAGACAGCCAAAATAAATTAAGAAACAGGGTTCAGTTTTGGGTAATTCTGACCTAGTTTGTACTAATTGTTATTAGCTGTCAAAATAATCTAAACTTGCATTTGAGAATGTGACCACGTCACATGTACAATAGCACCAGTAAATAGATTTTTTAAACTAAATGATGTATACATGGAATCTCCACATTTTTCTTGAAGTGGCTGAGTGATTTATCTCAACAGATTTCTGCACTTGGGATTTTCTTTACTCAAAGATGCTCAAAGGAAGCAGTTTAATGCAAACTCTCAATATGTCATATTTTGGCAGCGATTGCTTAATGCAGCAGTGCACAAATGAATTGCTCCACTGCATCCTCTGATCATGAATATGAATCGGAGTACTATAAACTGAACTCAATGTACTGATAAGTGACTGCATCTGATTGTGCCAGCAGCCAGATGATTTTCTCATTAATGAGCTGAACTATTAAAAGATAGAAGAATATGAAGCCAAGCCAGCATTGCCTGAGCCTCTTTGATGACCTTTTTCCAGGCCTACCAGAAAGCTTTGCCAACCAGTGAAGGAAAATTCATCCCAAAAAATCTTTTATGAATGAAGACAAAAGCTTCAAGGCTCAAATTCTGTTTCAGATTACATGGATGTGACTCCCTTGTAGTTGCAGTATTTAGTATGGGACAAGTAGTTGCAGTTTTAGTATGGGACTAATCCAGACTTTGATATTAAGGAATTACGCTCCTCCTTTGCTTTTCAGCCTCTGCTATTCTGTGTATAGGAGACCGTGGCTGCCAGGAAAAGACAGAGAACCTCATTCAACTAAGCAGAACTTCTAAATTCATTAAACTGAGAGACACAGATCTATGGAAGGCATGTGGCAAATAAATCCTCTGCGATAACAATAATCTGTTAGCAATATTTTTAATTTGGACATTTTCAGAGTGTTATTCAATGTCAAGCACTGATGTATAAAAATCCATTATTGTTTGCAAGCATCACCATGTCGCTTTGCAGTTTAAATATGGCCCCATCTCAGTTGGAAGCACCTGCAGTGCAAATTCAGAGTGAAGCATGTAGATCACTTGCAGAGCCCATAATGTTTCTAGATCTTTGCTCCTATAGAAATGTGACATGTGGCTTACTACCAAAAAAAAAAAAAAAAAAAAAAAAAAGTCGCTATAAAAAGAGTTGGGTGGTTTTTTAAAAAAAAAAAAAAAAAAAAAAAAAAAAAAAAAAAAAAAAAAAAAAAAAAAAAAAAAAATTAGAAGAAGAAAGAAAAGTGAAGAGCACGTCTGCCGGCACCACCACTGCTACAGCAAATCTGCCTCTAGAGGGCATTGCAAGCTAAATGTTTTCCCTTAAAAGTGTTGAGAACATCTTGGATCAGCCCAGAAGGCAGTCCTTAAATTGCCTAAATTAAGAGATTTTGTTGTGTTTACAACATCAGCTATGTAACGGTCAAAAAAAAAACTATTGGGCAGCAACACTGAAGGATCTTCAATCCACTGAGCAATAGAAAATATTTTTGGTAAGAATAGATGTTACCAGACATTTTCTAATATACCTGAAGCTTCTCAGGATGAGACAGGTTGTGAGCCAATTTTTGCACATAACTGTTCTCTTTTAATGACTTTGCTTTCATCCTTCTACAAGCACTGCTATTCCCACAGGTGGCTGAATCCAAAGATCATTCACGGGCCATTAGCAAGGAGGTGCAAAGAGACTTCTAATGCTTAGCACCTGGAATGTAGGCCAGTGCATCTGATGGAAACCAAATAACATTATTATTTGACTCTCTCAAGATCTACGATCTGTAAAAATTGCTCAGATATAAGTGACATCAAAGCATTATGTTCCACGCTTTCTGTATGTAAGACAAAAATATCTAAGTGACACATCATGAGATGGTAGTGAGTTGGTAGAATGGGCTCTTCCCAGTATGGGCTTTTTTCTAAAGGTCTTATTAAGCCTCTGCAGACATGCAGTAGGAAAAATAAAAAAAGAAATTTTTTTTCTCCTCTATACACATGAACTAAATCAGTTCAAATTACAAAAACTACTTTCCTGCCGCTGAAAATCAAGGAACATTCTTGTCTTGCTGCATGCTGAAGGCAATGTTTTGTCATTGCAGAGAACAGCAATCAAGTCCTTTGCTATAGTTTGGCTATGGATGTTCAACTAGTCACATTTGTTCAACTACAATTAACTGAAATACATTCAATATAGTCTTCTTTTTCTGAAGACTGATATTTGTCTATTTTCCTTACCATCACAGTGATTCTTTTTGATTTTCAGGTACCACTGTGATAGTTTTGCTAAATGTCATAGGCAACTACATTTCTAACAGGCTACAAGTCTTGCAGACTCTTCGAGATCCAGGAGTCCTTTACAAATTTTCAGAGTGCTCAGCTCATTTTCCAGTGCCTTATTTCCTGGTGCTATTCTGTGTGTTAAGATTTTGCACAGTGAGAATAAATATTAACATCTCTTATAAGGCAGAAATGTCTTCTCTGAAACACATAGCATGCTATAAAACAATTATTTTAATTATAAGGAAAACCCAGAGTATATAAAATGTTAAAAATATAATAGTCAAATATACTAGAAAAAGCAATTTGATGATTAAAACAGAAAAGTAAACTATATCAGGAAGAAAGTTTATACAGGAGTAAAGTAAAGCCACTTACACAATCAGTATTTTTACTGGCAGTTGGTTACACAATGATAGCATCAAAATTCTTCCTGTCTTGTTCATTATATTACTGCAGTGAACAGAAATATCAAAATTTCAGCTTTAATGGGCTTTAGTTGAAACTGTAAGTTTGCCACATGCAAACATTTTGATTTAAGCAAGACAACAGGAAAAAAAACGGTCCCTCTAGAATAATTATCAAGTTGTTGGTATAAATGTAAATAAGTGTTTGATGTACTTAATGAGAAATAAAAGGACTCTGGGATTATACTGTGGCTACATAATATAGTTTGGATGCTATATGCCCATGAATGACACAAATTCTGTCTGAAGTCCAGATAAAGAATATTGGATTCTCTGTGAAATGAAATTTGAACAAAATGCCCAAAATCCAAACCTCACTTTGTGGATGTTTATTTGTCTAATAAAGTAAACAGACCTGGTTTTGTGTAAGAACATTTCTGGTTATCTGCTTAGAAACAGAAAAGTTTTGGGGTTTTTTTTGGCAAAAGGAGGAAAGGTGTGTATGTATCAAACAATTCATATTGGAAGTGTTGGGTTTAACCTCCCTCTGTGCTCTGGCCTCTCAGCCATGAGCACTACCACCCTGCAGTACAGGCTGCATGGGATGCTGTGCTTTGTCCTGGGGGCAGAGATACTGAAAGGAAAGATTAATCTGATAAAGGCATTGCCATTTCTAATCGGACTGAAGGGAAACTGTGGTATGAAGTTAAAGAGGCAACACAGGGTGAATTACTGTGATGAACTACCTTAAAGCTGAAGCAATCAAATAGATAGCTCTCACATATAAAAATTACTGTGCCATCTTTATTCAGCAACAGTTTTGCACAAGTGTATCATGTTCAATCCCTTCCAAGAACAACTAAAGCACTCTGATACAATGGATGAGATTAAATCTTATCTGGGAAACTCAGCTGCTGGGGTTGCTGTTTCCCGCTTCTGAGACTTAATTTCTCATAACAAAAATAAACTTTTTAAAGCTTGAGAATAACAAACTACAAAAAATAATACCAGTACAGCACAGTGCCTGCCCTTGCAACCTGCTGGAATGGAATTGGAAGGGCTTTTACTCTGGTGTGTGGCAGCAGTAAAAATTTTTCACATAGCCTGACAGGTGAAAACCTATAGGAGGGAAATTTGTGACTCCTAGTTTATAGAATGAGAGAATGGCTGGGGTTACAAGGGATCTTCAAGATTATCCAGATCCAACATCCATGCCATGAGCAGGCACACACCTTCCACTAAACCAGGTTCAGAAACTATTCATACAAACAGACATGGAAGTTTTCTTCACATTTATAGGGGCTATCAGAATCACATTAAAAAATAGTACTAAAAAGAGTGGATGGGCTCTGAGGATACTCAGTATTTTGCAGGTCTGTTTGCCAATGAACAGAGGAAACAAGCATAAGTTTTGTGTCATCAAATGTGTTCTGACCAAGCATCACACGATTTTGTACTCATGGCACACAGGACTAAGAATTAATGCACAGGTACTGATAAAGAAAATTAAATGGAAATAGAAAAACTGACCTAGTAATAAGGTATATATGTTATCAGAACTTTATTTTTTTCAAAACTGAAGTTCTTTCACCCACAAAAATGCTAACAGGATTTAAAATATGTTATCTTCCATTTAATGCCTATCCTGTGCTTCTGAAATCACAGATCAGTCAAGGATACCTAACACAGAAGATGATGAACAACAATGATGAACCAGATATATTTATAGTTTTGAGGGGAAAAAAAGTGTGATTCTGAGTATTTTACTTGATGACTCTGATTTTGTATTCTAAATTATTTATACTAAATAAAATACAGCTTTTTCAGAAATCATTTATTTAAGATAATATCTTTTAAAAATATCATTTTTGACAAATCTTGGAAGCCATACTGCCTAAAGTTCAAGCAAAATCAATTAAAATTACTTCAGACACAGTATACATGACAAAACGAATATTTTATGGGACATTTAGTCAACATGCTGCTGTGTATTTGCTGAAATACATTTATTGACTACTTTTCCTGTGTCTCATGGATTTTAGTCTCCAGGACAATTACACTATTTGCCCAGTGCTGGAGTAAGTTTTTCCAAACTTTTCGAAGAGAGCAATTGATGAAAACAGTGTTTCAAAGTCCTAAAGAAAAGAGACAAAAAAATTTATGTTAGGCTTAAGTGGGTTTGGCTTTTGTTTAAGGTATTTTAGAGCTCTAAATATTGTCTTCTAGTTACATTTCATTATATAGATAGAATGCAAATTATGCAAAATAGTGAATATTAAATACACTTTTTAAATTATATGAATATTCCTTTGAAGAGGAGCAAAATAATGGATTTAATTGAAAGCAAATATGTATTTCAAACTCTCAGCAACTAGAAGAACTGCGGAAATTTCCTGCTCTAAAAAATTATATTTTGCAAATCATGGTTTACAAAAGTTTATTCTCCTCCCTGGCAACCAGGCAGGTTAAAGAAAGCACAATAGCCTTGCTATATTTAAACTTTTCTACCCTGGTTAACATTGAAATTGAGGTGTTAAAACAGCTCCATAAGAAATATTTTTTTAAAAATTAATATATATTAATTAAGTACTAGTTGATTGATTAGTAGAAGCAGGGTGATTCCTGACCATGTTTTTTCCCAAGGTAAATTTCTTGTTTCTTCCATTCAATTCTTTAGGCGCAAATGCTTAAAGGTCTAAATTGAATAAGGAAAACACAAGTGAAGCTGTGCCTTAAGAGTACAACATCAATTCAGCCAACAAACAGGAAAGTAAAACCAAATGTTCTAAACCATATTCTGATTTGTCTATTTAATAATAAATACTCATGGTAAATGATTAGCAAGTCCATGGTATTTAAGATCAAGGTTTTAAAACCTTCTTAATAAAATTATTTCCTTGAACCTGAAGTAGTGAGGACAGTATAACAATAGAAAATACTTGCTTTGCTTTCAAATTGTTTTTACTTTTAGAAAGTAACATGCCACAGATGAACTCTCAGCTTTCTAGGATCTGATGATTCATTTTTAGGAAGTGTTCTGAATACTTTGTACTCTTTTCTATTGCCAACAAATAGCTCTGTGAAAGTGGAGGAAATGGAAACATCTTCATGGAATGTCTGAGACCATGAGTTAAAGAAAGCGAAAAGTTTTATCTTTTCAACACCTTTCCCAATTTGAAACGCTTCATTTCCTCTTTAAAAGAGAATAAAAACTTTTTTTTTTTTTTTAAGGACATGAAACAGATTATCATTCCCTAGACAATTTGAATTTAGCTACTTCACAGAGCACAGTTCAGCTGTACCTCTACCAACCCAGCACCTCTGACTTCAAGTAAGCTTCATGCACTGACTGGGCCCACATGCCTTTCATCTGCATTGCACTTTGCCCAGCTGAGACCATATAATTTCTTACATCTCATACTTAAATTCGTTTACTACGATTCCTCTAAATTTCTGGTGCATAAATGCTAAAATAGCAAGGTAGACATACATTCAAAATTAAATAAACTGTGTGTGGTGTGAAAGCGAGTACTATCCCATTCCTAAATGATTCACAAGACTTACTTTTTAGTGTTTCTCTATGCCTTGTACTGGCCAATTTGTTATTCAACAGAAACAGCCTGTTTGCGTATTTTTATATAAAAATTTTAAAATGGCACAATATTCTAATTTTCAGTGTCTGTTCAGCATCACAAGCACCTTCTTACCATAGGAAACTTTGTTCATATAATTATTATAATAAATATTATAGTACCTCCAACACAACTGCAAATGGTTTCCTTCTAAAGCGAAGCTAGTTATATTTAATTCAGTAAATTAACCAGAATAATTCTGTTCATGGGAATGGAAAAATCAACAAACCAGCACTAGTTACTGAGAAAGCAAGCAGATAATCCAGCAATAATTTCGGATTAAGCAGTAATTCAGAGCAGAACATGGTATCTGTTATTTTTAAAACAGAAAGTATCTCATTAATTTACATGCAGGACAGTTACATACACCTTAACAAATCATGAACAGTTTAACAAGTGGTGAACTTCGGGTGAGACAGGGAAACCAGTGAAACCTGTGCAGCCCCCTTGTCAGGATAAAATCAGGAATGGGAAGGCTGAGCATTGCAGAGATCTTCATTTGCTGGAGCAGACGGCTTTTGCTATTAGGATTTCTGGCCAAACAAAAGCAATTGGCTGCCAAAATTAGCTCCTTGGGACCATTTAGGAGCCTTTGAAGTGAACAGTGTTTTTGAGCTGGAACTAAGCCCAGGTCCAGCTTCAAACTCAAATCAAAATGACAAAGAGGAAATTTTTTGTGCCACATGCCCCCTCAGTGTAAGATTACTTTGGTTTGGCAGCTGTACTGTTTATCTTGTTATTTAAAACTATTCCACTAGATACTCACAACTGAGCATTTAAACAACTGGCTCTGATTATGATGACGACAGTTGTGTTTGACCACATTTAGGAAATATTACAGAGTCTGATGGAAAAATAAAAGCATTGCTGGCTTTAGAGTTACATTAATTAAAGAAGTTTAGGATGTATACTGGTAAAAAATGTATAGAATGCATATAAAATATAAATATCTTTTTGGGAAACAGATCTTGTTTCTATTTTTTCTGTATTTGGAGATAAAGATTTTCATCAGATTTTAACAGAGAGATAAAGTAAGGCCTGAAAACACCACCTGGCCTTGCAATATTTACCTCACAGCACAAAGTGAAAGGAATTGGAGGCCAGGTTCTCACATCCATCTAATGTGATTGTGAAATGACCACTCAAAACATGAAGAGAAGCATAGTGATGTACTGCTCATTGATTCTGATGGGAATCATCTTGAATTTACACTGTTTAGTACATAGCATAGAAGCTATGAAGTTATGTAAATAATCCTTTTGAAGAACATAGGTTGTGAGAGGAGAAAAACAGGCTTCTTCAAAATTATTTTCACTATCAGGTCCACTCTGTTGGTAGCTGGAATGAATAGACTTACAAATATGGATTCAGACATATTGGTGAGCTCGGTCTATAGTTTTGCACTCTTACACAGGAGCACGGAGCTGAGCTTTATGGAATTTTTCCACAATGCATTTTTAAATCATGCCATATAACTCTCAGCATCAGAGACCTGTAATTCTCAGCACTGAGAACTACTTTGAAATTCCCAAACAAAGTTGGTATAACACTTCCTTTTTAAACTTGTCCAGCTTTGACTCCTTTCACTCTAGTAAATTGTAAGTGACTCAAGTTCAACTGACAGAGCTTCACAAGACCTATGGACCCTTTCAATATATTATATACTTGAGCTTGTGAGCTCATCGGTTCAAAACAATGGAGTCAGAAAAGGTGGCGTAAAGCCATCAAGGATTTGTCTCAATCAGCACTCTGATGTCATAGATTAGACTTGCCAAATGGTTACATAATCTATATTTGGAATGTTATTAAAGCAAATTCCAAAGACATTTTTCATCTGACTATGCAGACTTACAGAAATACAGATCGTGTACAAATGTTGGCAAATGAACAAGACCTTGTAGACCTTCAGATTGGTTTGGAGGCCCTGGAACATTACTTCTGTGATATTCTAGAAACAAATTTGTACTAACAGTGTTTCTTTCCAAGCAATTTTGAGAGTACTGTACAATATCCCATAATATAAAAATTCAGGTAAAAATGAGATACTCTATGGTAATTCCTATCTTCTTGGCAATTTAATGAAGTAGAAAGTCAGCTGCCTCAGACCAAAGCAAGAGCAGAGAAACAGCAGTAACATACTGACTCTCAGATTCTAAGGCCACAGAATTATTATAACCATCTATTCTCAGCTCCTGCATACACACTTCAGGGTAATTTCACATATCAAATCTCTCAAGTCCACAATAATTATGAAACTGTTTAGCATGTGATAAACTTGGAATAATAAGCATATATTGTTCTAGCAATAAACTTGTGTTAGGCTGTACAAATACAGATTTCCTTCATGGGTTAGTAGAAGCAACTTGTGCAGAAGTTTCAAATATAAATTGTATAATGAAAAGCATTCTCTGAAATGTAAAGCATTCCATCAATAGATATTCAGAGCAGTGATTCCTCTTCTGAGTCAATCAAAAAATACTAAAGACAGTGTATAAATGCATAATGTCAAGCATGGCACTGTGTGCTGTGTAAAAGGTAAACCAATCCATGAAAAATTTGCATCTGAGAAAAACTCTTTTGAAGCGCTGGAATTGTATCTGTTGCTCCTATAGAGACATTAGGCCTCTTCTGTTCTTCTCTTTATAGAGTACCTTTTCTGAATGTAAATTCTGTTAGGAATTAATGGCAGAAGGAATAACTGAAAAATGAGCACAGCTGCTGGAATCATAATTCTATCTTCATGCTACTGAGTAGTAAAACCACGAAACAATACTTTGAAACTAATATCCACACCAAGTGGATAGTACACACCAAGACCTTAGAGGATGCAGTGGGAAATTCTGTACAAGTGTCCCTGCAGCATGAATGTTCTTAGCGTAGGGTAAGCCACTGAGCAATCTTGCTTTCCCACAAAGTTGGGAGAAATCCCATGTGCAGAGCTCCTTTGGAAACCAGGCAGTACTGCCAAGTGTCACTGCACAGCTCTCATCCACAACCCCACCTGTTTAACACTAAGTGGTCATATTTAAGTTTCCTATGATCCTAATGCTTGTAATAGTAAAATTAAAGTTTTAAATTGAGCTGTCACAGTAAGCCTCCTGACCTGTTAATAGCCACAGAGGTCTCCAACAAGGAAGCAAACCAGAAACAGCAAGCTGTTAGACAAGTAAATGTTGATCCAGCTAACTTTTATTCTCAGCAAATTTATCAATACTGGTTAACAATACTTCCAACTAGTACAGGGTCTTCTGACATGACAAAATGAGTGTAACAACCCATTCTGTCAATACAACACAAATGTCATTTCAAGTACTCAAAACCCACTAAGCTACCCTAAAAAAGATTGATTTATCTGCTCCAGTGTTTCTTTGGGGCAAACTTTTCTCACAACTGAAACCAATTAGTGGGCCTGGCACTTGTAGTGCAAAATGTAGGTCAGCATCAAGTAATAAAAAAGTATTGACTTTTCTCTGTCTGTAAGCAGCATGAAAGGGGTGCCATGG